TTGGTTTAAGTGTGTGTGTGGGGGGGGGGGGGGGGGGAACTCTACCGCTTTCATTTATCGCTTTTTAGTCTGATTTATTGTTTTGTTTTATTTCATACTTTTAGGAATTTTATCTGTTTTTGACATTATGTCAAAGTCTTTGCATGTGCTGTCGAGTCTTTATGCATGGTTTTCGCATGTTATTCAATTTCCCCAAAATTTCAAAATTTCAAAACTCTAACCTCCAACAAAATTTCAAAGTTTCAAAATTCTAACCTCCAACAAATTTTTGCTTCGATGTATGACATGGTACTCTGAGAGTATATAGGCTGTTCAGGCTATATTAGAAAAACGTGGAAAAGTTTTGATAAAATTGATACCGTCCTGACACCCTTAACCCCCTAAATATGCAAAATCAATTTGAGTACCCATTATGCCGAGACCTTAAAGCTCCAGTTTCTTTCAGTAATCCCTAAGTAGTTTATTTAAGCAGTCAGCACCATCCTAAACACACTAAGTAAGAAATCGATGCAAATAAGTGTATGATCTCTAGTTTAAAATGAGAAATTAAGAAAGAAAAAAAATTAAATTATGAATAAAAAGACATGTTCCTTCTAAGTTAGGTGCTCCTCACCCGATCACTTAGCCCAACGGTACAGACTCTTTAAGTTCAATTGATGCTTAAGCACACTTGCAGAAAAAATGAAATAACAATGAGATCATAGTCACTAACAGGTTTACTTGTCATGAATGTGTATGGGATAACGGGCTTAATGTGATTGCACTATAATGAAATGGGGTGAAAAGAGAGCATGAGATATAGGTTGAGCTATAATGGCATGATTCAGATTAGTTTGCATAAGTAGGGAGTTTTTGAAATCGTGTCGTTACGGTATCCTTGGTATTGATATTTAGTACCTATCGATCTAACATTAGCCTAGCAGCCACATATGATTAGAGTCTCATCGTGTCTTTGTTTCGAGCTATGCTTATTTCTTTTTACCGTGTTGGTTGGTTGCTTGAGGACAAGCAATGGTTTAAGTGTGAGGGTGTTTGATAACGCGAAATCACATTGTTTATTTGGCTTGATTTACATGCATTTATTTGTGACTATTGTTAATTTATCTTGATTTATATTCTATCATACGGTTAATTTACTTTGTTTTGCAGATTATGGAGAATTTGGATTAAAGAAAGAATAGAAGAAGAAATGGAAGGAAAAGAAATAAGAAAGAAAGAAATTGAGAAGAAAAACAGAAAGTACAGATTTTGTGCGTGTGACGCTCATCACAGCTTCCTCACGCTCGTCACGAGCATCACCGTCGTCACAAGACCATCACGGTCGTCACGTTCAACACGACCGTCACAAGACCATGACGATCATCACGAGCCAAGTATCAAAATAAAACAGAAGTCTGCATGACCCTCAACTAAATTTCTTCCTGCACTTTCTCCACTCACTGCCCACTACTGGAAGTTACTCCCACTCCCTCCATAACTCACCCATGGTCTCTGGAAGTTGAGAAATGAAAGATCTCCTATAAATAGGCCTTAGATTCACAATTTTAGGGGGAGGCTTCGACGTATCGAAGTGCTGCCAAAATTTATACTGAAGCTATTTTATTTCTTTTATTTCCTTTCCGTTTTCCCTTTTGTTCAGAGCATTGTATTTCTGCAATTTTATTTCGCCAAAGTAGAATCCTGCCGACATTGTGGAGGACTACTCTTCAATTTCAGTACTACTTTCCAGGTTCAATTGAATTATTACTTTATTTTTTGTCATAATGTATGTTTTATCATTTTGCTGTTTATGTTTATTTCCGTTTGCATTAATTACTATGTCTAGCTAAACCACATAAGTCGGTATGTAATAAATTAGTAGGACAATTCGATAGTAACCGGTGCCATCCTTTTTACAAACATTTTTCTGGCTGTTAGTTTTTAATCTAATCTTTCTGAATAAACCTTCGTCGCGACAGCGAGAAATTATTTACAGTAGTTTTGCCACGAAAGTGGGAAACTCATTAAGGCATGAACCGACACGCGAAAGCCGGGGTTCAAACCCGATAGTAAAAACTAGGCATTTATTTTAAACACAGCGAAAGCGCTTTAAAATAAATCAGAACTTACTTATTTTCAAAGAGTAATTTAAACCCGAATGGGACTGCGAGAGCATACATTCCGCCTTAGAATTATGACCCGAGTCAACAACCATCGTGAGGCAAAGGTCTTTAAACGAGTATTTTCTCCTGAAAAGTGTTTGCAAAAACTAAAAACGGTGACCTGTCGAATCCCCGATAACTAAGGCATTGCATACCGATATCCCTTATCAATATATTTCTAAAACTAAAAATCTTTATTTCCTCTGTTTTTAATTTCATTCGCATTTAACTTTCCAAATTCCATTATCCTTAGCTTTACGCCGCAACAATAGATAATGGTAGGTTGACATTGGTCTTTGTGGGTTCGACAATCTTTTATATTACTTCGATATTTCCGTGCACTTGCAGACGCATCAGTTTTCCGTGAGGTAATTTGCAGTTTTTCCTCGTTTGTTTGACTTTTATCATATGCAAAACTCAAGATAAGTGGATGACTCAATACTTTATTAGGTTTTTTAAAATTTCACATGGTCTAGATCCCAACAAGATCAAGATTGGAGATCATATTAAACTTCATAGTCAAAATGTCTTTTGCCTGGCTTTGCCAATTACTTGAAGGTCAGGCAAATACTATATCCTTGGAGTATGGCGACCTTGTTGAATTGACTTATGCAAACTGATATTGTTGGGTAGATCTTGAATTATTGAGGACTATCTCTCTCATTATTAATATGGTTAGAGTGGAATGTGTTATAATAAAAGTAGGTTCGCTCTTTTATTAGTTAGTTCTCCATATTGATTATGACAAAAAGATCTTTAATTGTTTTAAAAGGTGTTATGTTCCTTTATACAAGTGTATGCCATCTCGGTAAATTTTAGACCGCCGTACAACAAATTTAAGGGAGAGGTGTTAAAGCACTTGAAGATCACGCCCTTTCACTTACATCTGAATGTATGGGCCTTTGTGAAGGTGTTATAGTTTTTGTATGAATATTGATATCTAAAGTCGTCTATAAGTCCTTTTTTCCATCTTTTTATGTTATGTGTATCTCATAGGACTAACTTTATGGATAAGGGTTGATCTCAATGCGATAATATGTCAAACAATTTCACGTTTATGTTGAGAATTTGGATAATTTTAAGGATCATTTCCTCCTGGCGAGCCTTCAAACTTATGAGGTTCGTTGTTTTTGTTGGGTTCCTAAGAGGAAACCTCATACTACCAACTTCCTCAACTATGAGTCGGCTAGATGTACGAATATATATTCACCATGATCACTACAGGTCAATGCAATATTTGATTCATTCTCGTTCGGGATAATCTGGGCAAATTTTTGAAAGACAACAAACATGTATTTTTTTTTTCTGATATAGAAATAATGTCCATGTATTGCGAGAGTAGTCATCCACAACTACAATGCCATAAAGATTGTCGCTAAAACTTTTGGTTTTATATGTGCCAAAAAGATTCGTGTGCAAAAGTTTATGAGTTAGTTTGTAGAAACAACAATTTTAGAGCACATCACATAAACGACTTTTCTTAAAGGATAATTTGAATGAAAAATGTCTAGGAAAAAATGAGAACTTGCACTCGTCATATAAATCATTATTTGACCAATGATTAACTTTACCCACTTGACCTTTGAACGGGTGAGCAACATTCTCATTAAAAAAATATATGTCTTGTCAGCTCTTGCCCTATTTCTAACTTTTTGCTACATAATCTTCACAATTATCCAGTGGACCATTCACATTTCACACTTCATTTGCCTTGTCTAAAAGTTTAAAAAGTCCAAATGATTTTTAAAGAGAGACTTGGATATGGATTCCTCAAATGGAATTCGTCAAAACTCAAGAGTACGATGTCGTGGATATATTTCAATGCCTTTGTTCTCCAACCCAAACACTATGAAGAAATATGAAAAAAATGAAGTGAACAAATTTTCCTCTAAACTGACACATTGAACCACTTGTCATGCTTTTAACATTACAGCACTATGCCTTCACTTGATCAAGATTAAACATCTTATTCACACCCACAAATATTTGCAAATTATGTTTTTCAAACGCTTTCATAAAATTTATTTTTAAAGTAGATTCAACTTCCTTAGTGACATAATATTCTTAAGCATAATCATTCAAAAATAGTCCATGATGCCGCTTGCAGTCATCTTCAAAAAAGAGATGTCTAACTTTGTGCAAATACACATAAAGATAAAGATTTGGAGTCGAAGCAAAAGAAGCATAAATAAATGGATTAAGGAAAATTACTCTGACTTTTGATTTTCAAGAATCTCCCTTTTCTTTCTGACAACAATTCACCGATCTCTTTTTGATAGGAACTCCGGCCAATTGACCAACTCTAAAATGCTTCTCTTTGTTGGATGCTAATGATTTTTTTACATATATTTTCCATTTTGAACAATTGAATTTGGATGAAGGAGAGAGGTTTAAGGTAGAGAGAGAGAATGAAAGATGTAAATGAGAGGAGTGAATGACAAAATTCAATTTAGGCAACCAAAATCAAATAACAACAATGATCATGATGCACAAAGATATGTCATGCACAAATAACACAATTCACAATCACATAAAACAAACAATAGATCACATATGAACAACAAATCAGACAAAATAACAATTAACACAAATCAAATACAACTGCGAGAAGATTAAGGATAATGGAATGTTCGGGTCCAACACCTCTGCATACGCGTGAAAAGCAGTACTATATAGTATATATTGAATCAGCAAAACAGACTTTAGATGTGAAAAAGTTAATTCTAAGGTCTAAACAGAGGCAGGTAACAGGCTTGAGCCTTTTCTGTAGTATATTGGAGCATAGAAAGAAGGAACAAAAAATTCTATTAACCAAACTAACTACTTTTCATCCCTAAAGAAACAAGTTCAATCAAACATTCACATGTGACACATGTTAGAGGATAAAGTCTTATATGCAAGGTCTATTTCTTGTTCTGTCATCTCGATTGTATCATCACTATCATAGTCAGCTGCACTAGAAGATGCAGCAGTTGTTTTTCCCTTTTTGCTCCTCTGTTGTTCATTTATCTTTGATTTCTTTGTTGATTCATGATCTAACCTATTTAGTTCCTCCTCGTAAATACGTTTACATTCCAGTGCTTGTTTGTGGATATCTTCCTTTGACATTGAAGTATTGTTTCCCACAGCATCCAATTTTGCAAGCTCCTCAACAACTCGAGGTAAGAATTTCCAGTCCTCAGTTCCTCTCCCAATGTCCTGGTTAAAGTTAATAAAAACAAACACAATCAGCTCAAAATCCTGTATTTCATTTAATCCTTGATATAATAGCACCACATTGAAACTAAAAGTAAGAATACCGAAACGGCACGGAACTCAGACATTTGTGTCAGGCCAAATATAATGGATACAAAGACAAAGCATATTAAAACTAGAAAGGCACTTCAAGTCTAGATGCAAATTATCAATGACTTTGAAAGGACATTTTCAATCTAAACGAGTGTCATTGAGTGTGATGACTCGGTCAAATGATTAACCAATTCCTATTCAAATAAACTTATCCAGTATCATTAGATACTTGAGCATTATAATTAGTCAGCATCATTAGGTACATATGGTGTAGGCATTATACATTGTTCGTCCATTCATAAAAATAAATAAAAAAGTTCTTGAAAGAGAAATTTTGACATGATTAGGAAATACAAAATACCAAGTACTATTGGTGTTCATGTAAGAGAAACTCTGAAATGCTTACGATTTGTTATGTTTCCTGAGTAATTCATTTCATACCTTGCCAAGAAAGATACGCAAATTGCAACGAATTCTCAAATAATAATGAATGCATTTTAAAAGATAATATAAATTTGTGCCCTGCATCTATCATGTATTATTAGTCTAATACTCTCATTAATCATTTTCTCACAGAATTTAAAGAAATGTCTCTATACACAAGGGAAATTATACATATATTAGCACCCCCAAAGGTAAAGAAAAAAGCTAAAATAGTTGCTGACTAAGTCGCAACCAGTTTTAATAATGTGCATTACCTGTTTTTCCTCGAGAGAACATATTGCATCTTGCAAGCAAGTCAGAATCCCTTCTGCAGCTATTTTTGTTATCTCACTTGGATCTGGCTGAAAGGATTACTTAAGAATTTAGTTTCACATAGGATATAACTAACGACCTTGAACAAATTAAGTTAGAACAACAGATAGGCTCATCTTCAAAGTATTTCTCACTGTAAGAGTGAGCACTGAAATACAAAATTTTCTAACATATAAAAAAACAAGAGAAAAAGTTATTATACAGGAAATGGAAGACCATAACCTTTTCTTCTTGACTTTCCAACCACTGAATTGTTTTATTCAAATCATCAAGAGCCCACTTCTTTACCTCAGAAGACTCAAAGCATTTCCTAGCGCCGTCGATATCTTTTCCCTGGAATATGTAACAAACAAAAAAGTAGCAAATATAATTTTCAACGGATAAAATAAATATTATTTAAATCCATTATCCTCAAATCAAGTATGTGTAAAATTATAAAACAGTTTGCCACTTTTTACCTTCGATTTTATAGAAGTAGTTGCCTTTGAAGACTCTCTATCAACATGCTTTGATGGTTTGTGCGGTACAGATGGTTTATGTTCTGCAGTCACCCATAAAATCACAAGAAGGAAATATCAGATGTGAAATTGGAGGGAGACAATGGTGTGAGACTTGCGTAGGAGGCAAACATGCATATGGCATCAGCTTATATAGATATGTTGTCACAATTTTGCAGTTATATAGATATATCATTGGTAAAAAAGATGGTTGTAAAGAAAGCTTTTAAGAACAAAGATGTCTTTAAGTAACTTCAGAAATAATTAAGCATGTATATTATCAATAATAGTTTGCAGATAATGGAATTTTCTCTTGTTAAAATAGTAATTCTGCTCCAGAAACAGGTAATTTTTACTTTTTAGGATTTACTTTTCCAGAAAAAAGAGAGAAGAGAGATGACTATTGAATGTGAAATCTAAGATGCAAGTCATAAAGGTGTTATATATAAGACGCGTGTAGCAATCAGTAAAGCATTTATTAAATGCCAAAAGAGCTTTAGTTACATGGCCTATCAATTTACTAGTGAACACACAGTTATGTCACCTTCGTTGACTTCGTGTGATTTACTTCCTTTACGCCATGGTTTCCCAGCATGCATAAGGTAACTATCAATTTCGACGAGTTTCCTCTGGTTGTAACACTCTAGTATCCAATCCTAACACACCCAAAGACAAAATAAAGGATACATCAAGTTAATTTTTGTTAACGAAATATATAGACAATGATACAGCCAAAACCAGCATAACGTTACTAGAGTTTCCCCACCAAAATCTAAAGAGTGGCAAAGCTTGATACCCAATAATTTTGACAAATTAATACGGCCAATATTAGTAAAAAAATGGCATTGTCTAGATTATACAACAAATAGTATTCTCCTCGGTGAAATGCTTGGATTAGCACTTTACATAAGAATCCCATTCATGTTGGCACAATAAAGAGCAAGGAAATCTATTGAGTGGTTTCCTTTCCTTGAGCAAAAAGCTTAATGTCCAAATGTCAATCAAGGTAAAACATCCCTAATTTTGCTTCATCCAAGAAAATCACTATCCTATGTCTCAAATACCAATCTCTAAAATACCAATCTTTAAATACCACTGCAAATTAAGGACAATACAGCTACAGCCTACAGCAATCGACACTGCACACAGAGAGCAGATATCAAAAGAAATGCTCAAAGAGAAATGATTCCATATTCAAAGAAAATTGACATTATACATTGAGATGCCCTAGAAGCTTCTTGGCTATTAGCTGGTTCAAAATTGAAGGTATCAGTTTCAATTTAACTCTATGGCATTGTCAATAATGGATCGATACCCGAGATCTTATCTGTTGATAAACTAAACAGTCTATAAACTCTGGCCATGAGACATTAATAAAACAACACATAGAACAATGTACTTATCCATACCAAAAGCAGCGAGAATAACAAATAATTAAATAGAGATTCCTAAAGAGTACAAGAGATAGTGATACATTCTTGAGGAGCTCTTTCTTTCCACTGCTATCCTTCCCAGAAGATATGCAGTATTTAGAAAATAGTTTTGTTAAATATCATTCACATGCAAAGAGTAAAAAGAAAGGAGCAGAGAAAAACCTTAGACACAATAGTTCCACAATCAGCTTCAACTTGTCGAAACTTGGGAGTATTTTGAAATGCACAAACCAAAAGAGTGCAATTAGAGTTCCAGTCAGGCTTAAACTCTGCTCCCATTTCCATAGCCCGCGACCTCAAAACCCCACGCTCGGGATTCACAAAGCCTGACAGCACAAAAACTACACCTTCCTGTCCATCCATAAACCAGTTTAACGACTTAATAAAATAAGCTCAGTCAACAACAACACAATCACAACCAAAAATACACAAATGATCCTTAATTGTTTCTTATTAATCAAATCAAGTACCATAAGCTTGTCAAAGCCTTTAGATTCCGAACAAGAAGCCGAAGATTTCCCAGCATTTTCAGATTGAACTTTGGTCTTCTTCTTGGAACTCTCAATTTCACTGGATTTCTCACCATCACCATCCAAAATTGGTTTCTTTCCGGAATTTCCATCATCATCGTTATCTTTTGAACTCATCCATGATGGAAGGTTTCTCTTGGAACCTTTGTTAATATTAGACATGACAATAACTACAAAGTACCAAATTTGAAAAACACTCGGGTTCCAGTAGAAAAACCTGCATTTAGGGTTTAGTATAAAATTCAAAAATTGTTTCAAAATTTCATCAATCGATAGAAACATACAATAGAATTTAATGATTGTTTAACATGCATTGCACTTGTTTAGATGAATAAGTAATAAAAATATATAAATAGGAAATTAAATAAAATGGTAAAAGAAAAGAAAAAGAAAAACCTCTTTGATTCGTTGCTTCTTCTTCTTTGTTTCTTTCGTTGCAGCGTTTGATTTTGGTATTATGAAAGGTGATAAATTTGTTATTTTCGAATATAAAGTTAGAATAGTGGATGTGCTGCAGTGGTTATCGGGCATAACTAAAAATTTTGTGTGCTTTACCTGCACAGGTTCAAATCCTATCGTCCATAATTTTTTTGAATTTTTTTTATTTTCAAAAACTGCAATACTCACCCAAGAATCTTTTAAAATTGCAATACTCAACCAAAAAAATATTTAATTCTCCCGTATTATTTTTAAATGAGTCACTAACATAGTTGTTGCAGCGTAATATTTACATGCTTGACAAATGTGTATTATTTTTATATTATAAATAATAATTATAGTAAATAATTATATTATTTTTTGATTTTTTTTTATTTTCAAAAACTGCAATACTCACCCAAGAATCTTTTAAAATTGCAATACTCAACCAAAAAAATATTTAATTCTCCCGTATTATTTTTAAATGAGTCACTAACATAGTTGTTGCAGCTTAATATTTACATGCTTGACAAATGTGTATTATTTTTATATTATAAATAATAATTATAGTAAATAATTATATTATTCAAAATAAAGATAGAATAATTATAATTTATACTAAATAATTAATTAAATTAAGATATTTTTAATATTATAAATATAAAAATGAGTTATTATACTAAGAGCATCTTTAGTGGGAGTAAACTAAATGGGTAAACTAAGATACTTTTTGTGGGTCCAAAGTGATTTTTAGGATTTAAAAAATTTACAGTTGATTTGAGTAGTTTTTACTTTAATGGTGATTGTCTATAAGAAACCAAAATTTGACCCCACATTTTATATTTTTTATTCAAGTTACCATTAATTTAATTATTTTAATTAAAATATATATAATTTTTTAAATAAAATTTATCTTAAAAACTTAAAAATAATATTAAATATATTTTATTATAAAATTAAAAATGATACAAAATTCACAACAATAATACATAAAAAAAAGATTACATTTTCATAGGAATATAATTATAATAAGGATTTAATTGGTTGGGATCCATTTGATAAATAAATAAGATTGAGAATTGAAAGAAAAAAAATTTAGAAGTAAAATTGTGTGTAAAAAAAATTAAAATTTCTATAGAATTTATAGAAGGTAAAAAATGATAATATGACCGTTACTATTTTCAAATATTATACCCTTACTTTAATGTTGTTGGAATATTTGAAATATTTTATTAATATTAAATAATATTATAATAGGTTTCACATAGTTAACGTTAACTATATAGATAATGAGAACTAAATTTTAGTTCATTTGAATGGCATGTCAGCTCTCCTATAATGCAAATTCCTAATTACTAACGTAAGCTATAAAGAATTTTGGTTTAGCAACCCTGCGTTAAAGTTGCTCTAAGTTACAACAAAATATATAACACATGTATTAGTTTTTTTACATAGTTTAAAAAATTGTTGGAATGGACCATGTGCATAACACATATTTTGTCTTTAATCAATTTGTTAAATTAGAATTGTTCTTTATATAATCTAAATTAAAATAAATATAATGATAATATATATATTTTATAAAATAATTTTTTTCACATTCTATTTATAAAAAAACTTTTGAAATGATTTTTTTCACATTCTATTTATAAAAAAACTTCTATCTAAATTAAATAAATTCATATAACATAATTATGATAATTCACCGTATATTGCCTTACAATTAAATAAATTCATACAATACATTAAAAATAATTAAAAATAATGATAGGTTGACATCAAATACAAATAAATTAATACTAAATATTTAAAATGGCGATAATTCGTCATCAATTATAAACAGTTATTTTAAAAATATGTTAATTATAAAATTAAAAATACAATTAAACTAAAATTAGAAGTGACAATTGGATCCATTATAGAAAAATTTATCCAATCCATCATTTAAAAAATTCATCCAATGCATCTACCATATAAAAAATAAATTAATGAATTAGATTAAATTCATCCATTTATATGCATGTATTGATTCAATTGATTAAATCAATCTAACATATTTTAAAGATCTAATAGATTATTTTTATTTCTGATAATTATTTTTAAAAAAATAACTAAAAATGAATTTTTTTCCGAAAAAAAAATCGGTTTTTTTCGGTAAAAACAATTGATTTTTTTAAATAAAAATATTGTTTTCCTAAAAAAAGTCGATTTTTATTTTAAATTAAAATATCAATTTTTTGAAAAATATAAAAAAGTCGAATTTTTCCAAAAAAATCGACTTTTTTTTGAAAAAAAAATCAATTTTTTTCAAAAATGAAGATATCAATTTTTTTAAAAATACAAAAAGTCTAACTTTTTCAAAAAAAGATCAATTTTTTTTAAATAAGAACCGATTTCGTTTCAAAATTTTAAAAATTATTTTTTTTAAAAAAAACTAAAGGTCGATTTTTCCCAAAAAAAATTGATTTTTTTTCATAAAATACAATAGTTTTCTTGAAAATTCAAAAAATGTTTTTTTTTAAACACAATTTAATTTTTTTATGAAAATATTAAAAAACAATTTTTTTTTAAATACAAAAAATAAGTTTTTTGAAAATAAAATAAAATCAATTTTTTTAAAAAAAATATGTTTATTTTTAAAAATAAAAATAAAAGTTGGATGAATGAATATCCATCCATTCAAAATATGTTAATAGATACGGATGCATTGAATTTGATAATTTTAAGAAAATTTCAGTGGATTGTTAATGGATTAATGAATTGTTTTGATCTATCCATTAACAATTTAATTCATATTCATCTAATCCATTTATTTTGCCACTTCTAAACAAAACTAACCATCAAAATAGAGATTGGAACAATGGTTGTGGGTAGTGAAATAATAGAAGTAACAAGACACTTGGTGGCCATTTAGTGGTGAAATTTTGTTGTAAGCTGTGAAAGAAAGAAGTTAAGTGATGTAAATTAGGTGTTTTTAAGTTGTTGATCATTCTGTTTTAAAGTTTAACTTTTTGATTTTTAGTTCTTTTAAAACTATGTTGATACACTCTAGTTACATACGTGACAACAATAAAGTCAAAAATATACTTTTAACGACGTAACATTAGAAGAATTTGTTTATTAATAATTTTTATAAGATAAATTAATAATTTTAATATAAGTCTTTTTTATATAAAATGTATTCTAAAATTAATTAATACAAATTTAAAAATAAACAATCCATAAGTAGAGGCTAACTAATGTTTGTCTAAGATATCGAAACATTGTAACTAAAACAGTGTAGAACTTGTGCATTTCTTCATATTGTGTCAAGATTTAACCAAATCAATAATTGCTCATAATGAATTATGGGTTGGTAGTATGAAGCTAGAGCAAAATTTTCCCTTCTTTTCCCATGCCTTAATTTTCCCATCTGCAGAAGCAGAATAGACAACCCATTTACATACTACGAACCCATTAGTAGCATCATCGTGAGCTTTAATTGACTCCAAATACTTCAAACTAGAAACACCTCACACTTTAAGTGTCTCATCCCTGGTTGTTGCCATACTATGATGTCTTTTCCTTGTGAAGCACTCAATATGAATTCACCACATAAGGCTACTAAAATTAAACAGAGCCAACATGTCCTGAAAGAATAGCCAATGGTCGATGAGAAAATGATGTGCATGGTGGTAGGTTGTAGTTGGGATGTGATAGGTCTTATATGTTGTAGTTATCATTGTTTTTAGTTCCATTATTTCCCAAGAACAATATGATAAACTAGTTAACTTTCTCCAACAAGTAAATTTACTTCCCTCGGGTCAACCTTCTAACACCAACCACATTTAAGTCCCCCCTATGAATCTTGCTCATCCATCTATAGCCAATTCATCAGCTATTATTTGCACCACCTTTAATTCAATTCATCATAATGATCATGTGTGTTCATCACGGAATTTTTTTACCCACATAACATAATGGTGATTCAATGTGTGTCGACCAAGCTGATTCAAATGTTTTGTACTATGATGCATTTCATTTAAATCTTATTTGTATATCCAAACTTTGCCAACTTTAAAATTTTCCTTTGAATTTTCTAGAAATGCACGTGTCATACAAGAGTTAAACACCAAGAAGACGATACAAAGTTCTTTCCCTCACCTTCACCTGCCACCAACATTAATACCATGCTGCCTAGTAATGCATTGTGGCATTTTAGATTAGGTCATATTTCATAAGTGTCTTACTCATATGACTTTGTTGTATCCCTATATCTCATTTGATAACAAAGCAACCTATTATATTTGTCATTTGGCCAAACAAATGAAATTACCATTTACTCATAGTTCATTTGTTGCTCAATCTAATTTGAAATGTTAGCATTTTGATATGTGGGGTCCTATATATGTGGAATACATTCATCATCATAGGTAATTTTTTTTATCATACTTGATGATCACACAAGATTTGTGTGGATCATACTCTTGAAAACCAAAGTTGAAGCTTCTACTAAAGTTCCTTAATTCTTAACCATGATATAAAACCAATATAACATTACCCCTAAAACCATTCCAACAAATAATGGGCCTGAATTTATGTTATCATCCTTTTATGCTTTCAAAGGAATCATTCATTACAAATCATGTGTTGAAACCCCTCAGCAAAATGGGAGGGTAGGAAGGAAACATTAACATTTGCTTAGTGTTGGTAGAGCTCTACTCTTTCAATCCAAATTACAAAGACAATTTTGGTCTTATGCAATT